TCGTGATTGTTGACCATAAGCTTCTAGATCAACTCTAACTGCACTAAGTCCATGAACCCCACGAAACGATGAATTATGACAATGACCACTAGTATCACCATGAGCTAGAAGGCTACCCTCACAATTTTAACTATAAAATTCACTTAGACTAGCAATCCGATGACCCCCGTCAACATCATCACCACCACCACCACCACCATCACCATCACCATCATTGCCACTACCACCACCATTATTGCTTTCAGTCGACACAAGACTAGAATCAGAGCGTTGGTAATCAAGTGAATCAGAAAGATGTATGTATTCATTATTATCATCTTCACCAAAAGAATTTTTCCAAGAACGGGTTTCCTTATCCAAGGGCATCAATAGTTCTTCCCTTTCTTCTAACCACGGATTCAGCGGATTGTCTTTATGAAATAGGTAATCTAAATTGATAGGATTAAAGTTATTCCCAATCTTTTGCTGGTTCTTTCGCACAGTATGCCTAATTTTCAATTTCATGTTATAGTGAATGAAAACAAACATTTGAAGTTTAACATATTTCAACATGTTTCTCGTCTTGGTGTGAATAAGCCTACCTATGCTCCAATTACGCTCACAACCAGAAGTTGAAGTAGTCTGACTTAGTACCTTAACTGCTATACTTTAAAGCTCAGGAGCTCATGAGCCATAAAGAATCCACTATCTAGCTACATAAAATAAATTTTGATGAATTCACAAATGAATAAATATACATTGACTACATATTATAAATTGTAACTAAGCTTACCAAGATTTGTTTTGATAACTACTGCCTACGCAATATTTGATCCAAATGTTTCTGCTTTATCTTGAAACAGAAATATCTACATACATTATAATTGTGAAGGAACGCGTATTAGAAAACATGTCAATCAAATAATAAATAGAATTGTAAGTAAACAAGTACTGCATACCTGATTTATTGTCTTAATCTGACATTTAATGTTCGGCTCCAATCTTTGTATTACTTTCTGCGTTTCGTCAATTGTTTCTCTGAACGTCTCCCTAGAGTTGGTAGTAGTCTATTGGAATTGTGGATTCAAGAAGTAACTTCTCATATAGAAATATTAATTTTTAGTGCATTATGTTTACTTATTTATCGACACACATAACATGTAAATTTCATACAAGTAATGAAAGGCATAACTTTGTAGTTCATACTTACTAGTATCATGCAAATCATGATGTAACTAAACAGAATACCGACGACAAATAATCTTCTAATAGTCAACCAAATATCGAGAATCTCTTTTAATAGCCAACTTTGCTCGATCTATTGCTTCATATATAAAATTCATTGTAGGTTTCTCATCTCCATCTACTAACCTTAACACCCTAAGCAATGGCTCTGAAACATTCAGAACCTCATTACCTCTCTTCCAAAAGTCATTGCCCATAATCAAAATTTTCACATCACTAGGAGGACCAGTTTTAATCTTCTCAAATCTAGTATCCTTATCATCCTCAGAAGTGAACAGAGCCTTTAGGTTATCTTTCTGCCTAATAATGCTTTCAAGTGCAATGAAATTTGTGGCAAATCTGATAATTAAAGGGCGTAACAATTCTTTATTATTTGTAAATTTTTTCATCAAATGGTATTCCCTTGGATATTTATAAATGAAGCTTGTAATAGACTTTGCATCATCTAGGACCTTTGTAACAGAATTTTTTTTTGAAATGTGCTACATACGTTGTCCAATACAAATATGGTCTTTTCTCCATTAACTACTTTCCAGTAGCCTAAAGGGCTGCTTCATTGTCAGTCACTATCTAGACAACATATTCTTGTCCAATCTTTTCAACAATCATATCTAACAAACAAAAATAATAATCTGAAATCCTACTAGCTATATTAGATGCATCAACAAACTAATGAAAAATTGTACCTTTATTACAATATATCAGGAAGTTGATGATATGATCTCATGTTTGACCAGTCCATCCATCACACATGATAATAACTCCCCTATCTTTTCATGTAGGCCGGAAAGACTTAATCCACTCTTTCATTGCATTAACTTTTTTATTCAAATGTATCTCAGACACCTCACAACAATTAAGACCTTTAACTCCTTTTTCTACTTCAGCAGCAATGTCAAGCATTGGTTGAGTCTAGGGAGAGTCTGCTACATGAAAAGGTAAATGGTTATATAACATGAATTTGGAAAACATATCTCCTAACATTTTCCTTCTAATCTTTTGGTGATTTGAATTTGTCTTTGGCTGCTTAGAATTTTTGTTTCTCAGAAGATCAGGATCCATCTCCCTTAATCTAGCTTCAGGAGTATCATAATTAATCCAATGTCAACCACTGCCATCAACATCTTGCTCACGAACTGAATGAGATCGTCTTAACTTACCTACATCTCTACTTGTAAAACTACCCACACCTCCGAAACTACATCTCATGTTATACTATGACACATGTACACTTCTATGTCTGTGACTTTTTTCAAATTGATATTGTGTCACACTTTTTGTTCTCGCGAACGCCATCTAAGGATCATAATCTGAATCATCACCTAAGTCCACATACCTTGGATACCCAATCACGGTCTCTTTCAGATGCAATTCTAGTTGTGCCCTCCTCTTTTGTTTATCTTTTTTCTTATCTTTACTTTCTTGAAGATGTTTCATCATCTGTTTCCTGACCTCTTGTGGTACTTCTGGGCACAGTGTTACATTGCCTCTTACTCTTACCAATTTTTCTTTCACTCGTGTAATACCACCTTTAATCATTTTTTTACAAAACATACATACTACATCATGTCTATTGGTAGTCATTGTTGCAAAGTTCCAATCGATATCATCACCAGAATTGCTTTTGTGAACCTTATTTTGGGCTATGTCGATGCATTTTTTAATTCTATCACACACACAAAAAAGTATATTTCATGTAGGAATAATAAATCAATATATTAAATGGATTAAAAGATTAATTTATAGTTATTTATTATACCACTGGTATGTTCTATCTACTCCAAATAAAATTAGTGAATGGTAAAACACACAGTGACACACAATCTTTATTTAAAATAATTAATGAATTATGGACCCACAAAATATTCATTAAAATGATTAGTGCCTACTCTAAAATTAGTTAATTATGATTAGGGGTGTCAACTCTGATCCGTGGATACGAACCCGACACAAGTGATTATAAAATTGACACGATTATTAGATACGCATAATAAATAGCCTAGAATAATATTTAATACTCATAACACAATAAATAAATATATTTTTTTCATGGGTCTGAACAAGAACATGACACAATTGACACCCTTAATTGTGATACTCATGTAAACTCCATTAAAATAATTAATAAACACTATTAAAATTATTTAATTAAACACATATTTTATTTGACCCAAAACATATCTCAAACACACCATTATAATATCTACAGAGACATGACTGCATCCTTAAAAAGTTAAAAAAAAAAAATGCGAAGGCCGGAGTGGAGTGACAAGTAGACAACACTACTGTTCTTACATTCTTAAAAACAAAAAAAAACAAAAACAAAAAAGAAGCAAGCGGTGGCTAGAGTTAAGGGTGTTAATCAAGCTGAATTCGAGTCTAAATCGAGCTAAATTTACACATAAACAAGTTGGCTCATTTGACTTTTTACACATAAATGAGTTTTAAAAAATATTCAAGTTTGACTTGTTTAACAGCCATAGCTAGAGTTTACCCACTAGAAAAGAGAGCAACTTGAATGGAGCGCTGCAAAGGAGATCGACTCGTCTTCGATCATCCGAAGCAAGCAGCGAGCACACCGAGCAGAGGAGAGCACAAATCTGATCACCGATCAGACAGTCACAGTTCGAGTTCAAGTCTTTTGAGCAGAGGATAGCACAGTTTTGAAAACTACCTCAAGAAGCCAGATTTGGATGTACAGATGCATTTTTAGGCTTTTATTTAAAAGATTTTCTAGATCTAAACCGTGTATTTGAGTGAAACAGGGAAGATGAGAGAAGTTGGTTGAATTTGGATTTATGATGAAATCAATTTTTGGGGCTAAAATTTGGGTTTAATACTCGAATCAATTTTCGAGTTGTAACGGGTTAAAGCGACCGAGTTTGTCCATATCGTCTATTACGTCCATTATGGAGCCGTAACAGCCATTACGACTGAAATTTATCCTTTCCGTAATATCGGATCATAACGAAATTAAAGCATTCTGTTGCTGTTATGTAACGCGTAGCGGCCAATTTTCAAACCCCTGCTTCATATACATACATTGTATATAAAGCTCCATAGATGACCTTTACGGATGTGATGGTTCCATGCATATTACTTTAAGATAAGGCAAAATTTACTTACTGCGTAAAACCCAAATTCGAACTTCAATCCATACATTTTATATGATTTTCAGCTTTTTCACAAGAAACATATACAACAACTAGTCATCGGCTTAAATAGTTAAATATAGGGTTAATAGTAATTTTGATTCCAAACATATGTATTTTTTATCAGTTTAGTCTTCATTATATCAATTTTGTCAATTTGATATTTAAAGTATTCAATTCGTGTCATTTTAATCTATAATCAAACAATTTGTCAAGTTTTTTGACATAAGTAACCACGTGTCATTTTTTTAGACAGTCTCACATGTCTGATACGTGATCATTCTATTAAAAATTTAATAATTCATGTATGTAGAAACTAAACTGACACGAATTAAATATTTTAGAGATCAAATTGATAAAATTGATACAATAAGTACTAAACTAACAAAAAAAATATAGACTTTAGAGACAAAAAAGACTATTAACTCTTAAAACTAGGTCACATCCATATGCTTATTCATGAAAACCAAAAGTGCGGCCTCATTTTTTATATCCATGGACACCCAATAGCAGAATTTTTCAGAGTTTGAGTTTCGCACACTATGTATGGTCCATAAAGTTTTAGGGTTGCCTGCACCGCATATTCATTCCCATTCATTGACCAATAAATCCTCAGCAACTGACCGATTTGAAGACGCAGTGCAAAAGCTCAGAGAACGCCTCTGATCTGCCCTTACTGAGGCTATGAATTCATATGTGATTCTGTCTCGGTCAGTTACACGAATGACCCCATTTCGGTCCAGCACATAATCTGCCCGACTTGGTATTTCCAAGTTGCCATGGACATCTCTATCCGAGGGAGATTTTTCAAAGCACACATATTGGGGCTCCATTTCTCCAAACCTTGAAGGAAAAGAAGATGAATAAGCATTAATGTGGTCATTATGGGATAGAATATAAGAGAATGAGAGAAATGAACTTCATTTCTGTTCTGCTTAAGTATGAGAAAGGCTAGCTATACAGAATATACTAGTCCTAGTTAGGTCACTTAGGTAACAGAAACTACAAAAAATGGATACCCTCAAGAAAAGAAGAATCAATTTTAGGATTAAGGTCTGTTTCTTCGGGAAAGTGCTAGTTATAGTGGTACTAATACTACTATTACAACAACACTGAGAAACTTTTATAGCAGAGAAACGAAAATTGTCGCTAGAATGGAGAGAAAGAGAGATGTCACACCTAGACATAGATTTTGAGAGATAAATAAGGAACATCTAAATTGAGATTAGTCTCTTGAAGAAGAGAATAGGAGGATCATGGATGTGCTATGTAATCAGTGAATACGCTACTTTGGATGAGAATTTTCCATTATTTGCATGACTCCAGCATAGGGAATCATGGAAGGTATTTCGAAATGGAATAGTGGTATGCATGAGTTCATTTAAATATCCTGGGGAAGCAGCATACCTGCTTCGTTGCTATAATCTGCTGTGTCTGGGACTTGGATTCTCTCTCGCAGTGGAGCCTCTCCTAGCACTAATCTGTCCAGAAAGAATTATTTTCTCCATTTCTAATAATCCACTTAGTCCCTCTAGTCATGATTTCTTTGGTCTTAAAGACTACTTTACAAGTGGGTGAAGCATTTGATTTCTCTTTCCAAAAGTAGTGTGTCTTATTAGCATTCCTATCTTTGATAACCTTAACCCATAGTGAATTTTGGCCACTAGAGATTTTCTAGCTTAGTTTTGACAGTAGTGCCAAATTATTATCATGTTATTCTTGAGCCCAAGTCCACCATACCTCTTAGGAGAACATAGAGTATCCCAATTCATAAGGTAAACTTTCCTCCTCTCCTCATAATCCCCCAAAGGAAGTTTCTATTCAACCTATAAATTTGGTCCCAAGTAGACTGAGAGAACCAGTTAGTTTGCATGAAAATAATTATGTAGGGTTGAACTAACAACTTGGACAAGGGTGGCTCAACCCGATAGAGTTATATACTAAAAACTTACTTTTTGTAGTGAAACTCGTTTTATTAATTAATAGAATTTATTTTTTCATTTTTATAGAGAATCTATGTGGGCAAAATGTTTGCATTATATTTGATATATGGTATGCACGTGTATCTCATATTTTATATTGTAGATAATCTGGTGTGTAGAGTTCAAATTATGCACAAAAGACCAGATTGATGTATCGGGTTATTGCATAATATGAATATAAGTTCACAATTTTTAGATAGAATTGGACACACCATCAGTATGATTGTAGTGTAATATTTTGGCATAGTATGTCTTGACTATAGAAGACTGTTTGATGTTTGCGATTATTGCACTAGTACACTTTGTGTATTGAATAAACTCATGTTGAAGTTATTATCTTTTATTGATTGAATAAGATGATAAATACCTCATGATTATTATGATTGTTTATACTTTTAATCCCGACATATTTAATCGTTATGTGCATTTAATGATTGTCACTTTAATTCATCAAAGAGTGAGATTCATATTGAGTCAATAAACTCGGTGAATTGCGAGATGACATCATTTGTATGATGAAAATTAATTATTAAAGGAAATCATGTTCTGGTATTTAAATTGGTAGATAATGCCCTCTTGAGGAAGCTCAAAAGTTTTGTCCATGTCAAACTCTGCAGGTGGATTTAATTATCCGACATGATAAATAAGCTGAGTGGTAATGTCTCAAGGAATAAAAGAAGTCAATTAAATATAATTATTAATGATTTATTTAATTGATGGATATTTATAATCTTAAACATTGGGAGATTATTAAGCATATATAAGGAGCTTGAAACGTAATTGTGAGATAAGGTTCAGAAGATTAATAATAAGTTTTTAGTTGATTAATTTATTATTAATGGACTACATGATATTTATTTTGGGTTTAACATAGGAATCCTAGGTCCATTCGAAGCCCGGCCCTTATTTCTCCTTAGGGTTTCTGTCATAGCCTATGATATCTAGGCTCTCTAAATCTGGATTACCTTAATTACTCACGTTTTGAAGGAGGCTGAGAGAGAAACCAGAAATTTGGGAGTATTTATAGCCCACACTGCATCCAAATTTTGGCATTTGGGGATATATGACAGAAGATCGTGAGGTTCCTCGAGTTGTTTATTACGTCTGTCTTTTAAATTATGCATTCATGTTGAGACAAGATCAATCTAGAGCGATCTCAACGATAAACCCTAGCTCCGCTTTGTAGGGTTTTAAATGGAATTTTTTTGTATTTGATACATACGCACTGTCAATGATTCTTGAGACTTCTGTTCCAACACTCTCAGCTATGGAAGGGTCTTAGATTTCCAATCACTTAACTTACTTTGTATTCTTTCCTAAATATATTTGAAGTTGTGTTTGTTAGACCTGCTATGTAGGATTGGGACTCCCAAATATTTACCAAGATCATTCGTGAGTGTAAGTCCACACTTCCAATTCAGTCTTCTGGTAAGGCTTTTGCTAAAATTTGTGAAGGAAAAAAACTTTTGAATTACTGAGGCTATCTTTTTTGCCTGAGAAATTACAAAAATTTTCTAAGGCATCTTTGATCATATCACAATCAAGATCAGTAGCTCTAGAAAATAAAATAATGTCTTCAGCGAAGAAAAGATGGGAAATTGTAGGACCATTCCTTGAAGACTTAATTCCTTTCCAGACTCCTTGGCTAACTTTTTCAAGGATCATTTGACCTTGCTTCTCCATACAAAAGGCAAAAAGATATGGTGAAAGGGGTCTCCCTGTCTTAGTCATCTCCTAGGGATAATTGGACCCATTGGTGATCCATTCCACAAGATAGAAAGAGAGAATACAGTCACAGAGCTCATAATAATATCAATCCAAGATTGAGGAAAATTAAAATCAATAAGGGTTTGGTTGAGAAAAGGCCAACTAATCATGTCATAGGCTTTTCCAGATCAATTTTAATAACCATAACCCCAATCCTACTTTTTTCCCTTTTTAAAGTATGAATTATCTTTTGTGTAATGATCACATTATCTATGGTTTGCCTTCATGGGATAAAGCTACATTGATAAGGACTCACTAACTTATCCAAGAAAGGTCTTAGTTTGGCTACTAGCAATTTTGTGAGGACCTTATAGTTGACATTACACAAGCTTATGGACCTGAATTCAATAACCTTGGTTGGGTTATCAATCTTAGGAATTAAAGTGATCCAGGTTTTATTAAATTCACTTAAACAGTTCTTTGACATGAACATATCTTTTATTTAACTGCAAAGGGAGTGGCCAACTAAATCCCACTGTTTATGGAAGAAAATAGCTTGAAAGCCATTCGGTCTTGGGGCTATGAGTACTTTTAGACTTAAAGTTGCAAGTTTAATTTCCCTATCTGTTACGGGTTTATCTAGATAAAGTTTTTCATTGGAAAAATGTTTTGTCTGGTGTCTTATTGATTTGTTCTATGATATACAAGAATTTCACTGCCAAATAAATTGCTGAAAAATTCTTGGATTGTTTGGGCAATCTCATGATATGTAAGTCATCTACCTTGTGAGTTTTTTAAAGTTTGAAATCGATTTCCCTTCCTTCTCACTATGGTGGAAATTGGAATTTTTTTTGTTATTTTTATAACCCAAAGTAATCCATTTATACCTAGACTTCTGATACCATAAAATTTACTCTTATTCTTGGATTTTCGGGTACTCATGTTGTAGTTCTTTCTCGAGACTATCTAGGTTATGTGAATAGTGATGGTCCTGGGCTTTTTGTATACCCTCTAGTCTTGCCAGAATTCTTCTTTTCCTATGAAATATGTTACCAAAGATCTCCATATTCCATTCTTTAGGATTAGTGGCAAAAGTAGTCGTGGCATTGATCAAGGAATGATTCTCCTTTGACCTGATCTAGCCACAAACCAACGCAATGATCTAAATATGCCCTAGGCAGATTTTTTACTCTTGCTTCCGAAAATGGAACATTCCATTTTGCATTAGCTAGCATTCTATACAGTCAGATCTTCATACTCCCTAGTCCCTTTATTTTATTGTTCCATGTTAGACAAGGTTCACTGCATCCAAGATCAATCAATCCACACCTTTCTATTCGGTCATTGAATTTCTAATCTTGTCGCTGTGGTCCACATTTCTTCCTCTTCTTTCAAAGTTATTGGCTAAGTCATTCAAATCTCCCGCAACTGCTTCAACTTTAAATGTGTAAACTCAAGCACAGGTTAAATGAAGTAATATATTTCTCGGAAGACCGATGTCAAACCTTTAGGGAATTGTGTAACAGCAGCAATCACACTAATACTAAAACAATCTTGTAAAGATGATTTGTTTAAAAGAATATTGAATTGGGATAATTGATTAAGGTAAGTAAAACAGTATGAAAAATGCTAGAGCATCAGGTACTCCCTCTCAAATCCATACAATAATGATTAAAGACTAAATTCTTAACCCTAGATAAGAATCAAATGTCGGTTGATTCAAGTCACCAAATTTAATAATAAAACCATAAGAATATCTTTGTTTATTATCAAAAGATTATCTAGAAACGTGAATAAACATTCAATTATATTATTCTGTGAAATAATGGTAATCAACTGAAAGCGTAGAATAACCAATTATTTGACTCGTAGGAAAATTCAAGCAATCAATGTACATGGCACAATGACTCAAGAATTTTTACACAGCAAAAACTTTGCTAAGAAATCAAAAGTTGAATTAACAAAATATCACATACAATTAAACTCTTAAGCCAACAACATTGCAGTACTTCATTGAGAGGTCCTTCCCTAGCACTATCTAAATCTTTCAGCCAGACATGACGAACTATAGTCAAAAATAAAATATAAAAAGACTCCAATCAAAAGGTGTTTTTACAAAATATTCAACTCCTATTTATAAGATC